CATGCTGAGGGCTGAGTTTAGGGCGCCCCCTAAGGACCAAGGAAGGTATTAGGAAGTAGCATCTCTGTAGTTGCACTGGAGTGTTTTTCAGTATTTGATCAACTAATTTTCACTCTCTTCCAATTTAAGCTTCTTTTCACCATTAGTTTGCTGACTTACCAGGCACAGGTGTATATTTTGTAAATCCAAATATACACTTCACAACAATCTTGGAATAAATGCTTATTGAATGCTACCGCTCCACAAAACTGAAAATGGCTTTATCTACCATAGAAATGGATATTTGTTTCAGATTTTAATTAAGATAAAACTTATACTAAAATGAAAACCCAGATCGAAAGTTTGGAATTATGTGTAATAATAAAGCATGCACATAACCTTAATTATAGCATTTATACACTAAATATCATAATGTTAAAATTACCATCAATAGTTTAAAATATACATATTGCTACATTCAACAAAGCTGCATTGAAAGTTTAGTGGAACTATGTAAAAAAATACTGGAAAAAATCCAATTTTATAGCTACTTTCTAATTGCAGTCAGCATTACTATCTTCAATAAGTGAAATCTGTAAGAATTGAAGTTTCCAATGAAAGTTCCATTTAGAAAATGGTATTATTTTCTATTAAAAATTCTCTCCCTTATTTTCAGAAATATAGTTTAATTCAACTAAACTCTCAGTTACAATAAAGCAAAGCATCTAATAATTTTGATTGAGATTGAAAGGACTTCTATGTCTGACTCCAATTGGCTAAACCTTTCACAAGTCAAAAGAAATAGATTATGCTACTTGGGAGAATTGTTTTTATTCTCTGTTAAAAAAGAACTTGATATTTTAAAATATTAATTTTCATTTTTATTTTGAAGGCTGAAAAATTAGTAGTTCTTTGCAAGATTATTATTTTCTCTTCATTTGTGCCCAATGAGGTGTCTAGAACACACTTAGAAAGTGTTAAATGATATGGTAATTAATGTGTCATGTAACTCTCCCAACCAAAAATTCTTTCTATGCCTTGATACATGTTTTTCACTTAAAATTATAAGGCAGGATGACTCACATTTTACATTCAAATAGCTTATGCTGTTAATATCTTATTTGTTCACTGTTCTCCAGATTTTGGAAATTAATTTGTGTCACATCAGTAGTTGGGATAATCAGCAAGGCTCCTGCTAAAACTGAAAGAAGAATGTAATGATACTATGTCCAGATATCAACTACACCCTAAACCTAGGGCCAGGTACAGAGTAAGCAGGTGAAATTCATAAGAAATTAATATGTTATTTTGAATCAGAATCTACTAACAGAGAATTTTATGCTAAAATTTTCTTACTAAATGACATCATGACCAAGCCAGAGCTGATATTTATTTCCAGGTGTTGATATCAGCAATAAGAAGTTGTTACATGAACAGTATGTAATAAATCTGAAGATTAAATAAAGAAAAGTAAATGAACATCAACTAACTCAAGTAAATTAGAATAAATAAATACAGCCACTTGGAGAGCAAAAAAAAAACAGTACTAACTACAGTATTTATGACCACATGCGCCTGTCTTTCCATAGATTAAACCTAAATCTGCCTTCTAACAAATGCCTTAATGGCAATGAGTAAAATGCTTGGTTATGTTTCTAAAAATCTCTTAAACTTTAGGATGAATGATTAGCACAAACTATACTATAACATCAAACAAGTGAGCATTTCTTCAGTATTCAAAATGTACATGTGCTTTAAAATATGTCTTCAGATTTTTTAGGAATAGGGTCATCTCCGTAGCCAAAAATAAGTCTCTTGAGTACATACACCATTGTACACATGCCATTTTTCAAAAATCTTTTTAAATGCACGTATTATCTCACAGAAGAGGACAACAGAGGGTGAAACACCACAAGTGAGGTAGATGGGGACACCTGCAGCTGGAGAGGCCTTGCCATTGTTTCTCCATCAGTTACTGCAGTCCCGTTGAAAACATCACTGTTACTCAATCACCCAAAGGGTACTAGCCAACACTCTGATACAGAAGATTGGGTTTGGACGTCCTCTCTGGAGAAAGAGGATACAACAGGTAGACTAGGAGCTGGGACCCTTGCAGAGAGCTAGAACCTTAAAGCTCTTGGAAGGAAGTAAAAGTGTGAGCTAGAAACACAGACACAAACAGAGACCGGGAGATGAGAGATGGAGATGGAGATGGAGATGGAGATGGAGATGGAGATGGAGATGGAGATGGAGATGGAGATGGAGATGGAGATGGAGATGGAGATAGAGAGGGGCAGAGAGAGAGAGAGAGAACTGCCAGCAACTAAAACTTTGGCTTGCATTCCCCACCTGCATCTCCAGGTCACAGGTACTTAGATATCTGTCCCACAGAAAGCACAGAAAACCCAAAGAGAACTATACAGCACCAAAAAAATGTATTGGATTCCATTTGTCTTTCCAAGAGGAGATGTAGTTCATGCCACCTCCCCACTTTCAACTCCCTAGCACAAGGTGCAGATGTTATGGCAATCAAAGAAAATATAAGTGCAGAATTGGATTTTATAGGTTTTAAACTGTGCAAGACAAAACCAAATGCATTTCTGCTCGAGATCAGAATCGTTAGGGTCACAAAACTATATAACCTGATTTAAGGTACATATTAACATATCTGTGAAAGAAGAGTGAACCATGGAAATAGACACAACTTTTTAATGGAGGTACTTTCCTCATGTGAAAGTAAGGAAGTCCCAGCCACAAGACTCTGAGCATTTTGGTCTCATTGGCAAGCTTTTCCAATCTGAGAGCATTAAATACCAGTTTCCGGTAATTTCCTTTACTGATACTCAAGACTCACCAGTAAGTTTCTTATTCATGTTTTCTTTCCTATATAATATACCTACAGGTAAAGGATACACCTATTATATGCACATAACTCCAGATATCTAATTTCTGGGACAGTAATATTACATTGTAAATTAACAAATATCCCTTGTTATTATATATCAGTTTCATAGGTATGCGAATGTGCTTCTGAAAGGTGGACACATGGGTAGAAAGTCAGTTTTTACAGTATATCGAGTTGGTCACCCAAGACCACTGTAAATTCTCCACAGTGCTGCAACTTTATAAAAAGTCTTCTGTGAGTCTATTAACCTTCTCCCCCACAGTGGAGGGATTAGGTGTGGCAGTACTATTTTGCCAGATGTTATTTCTGTAATGTATAGAATTCATATTAGTTTTCCTCATGGTTGTGCTCAAGCACCCACTTTTGGTTTTCTGCAGTATCAGAAAGAATTCATTTTCTCTATCCTTTATCTTCTGCTCTCTCTTATTTTTTCCTTAAACATAAATGTTATTTCTGCATCTAGGATAATGATTTATTGTACTAGAATCCTTGAACTGACTCATTTATTCTTTTTTTGAGTGCTATCTTTATAAATTATTTTCCCTGAACTAAAAAGAATGTCTCCAAAGAACATTTATTATCGAACATCTCTCATCATTAAAGAAATTGTAAGAGCAGGCCTGTTTGGGAGCATGATTTATAGAATGTGGTAAACAATTAATGACTGATTGACTGATACTATTTCTAAAATTTCTACCTAAAATCTCTATTTACTCTTAGCAAAAGCTAAACAAGCAGGTGCCAACACAGGTGAGACTAGAATGATTTTATCTGCTCTGTCTCTGTTTTCCTTGAGAATAATTCTTCACACGATGGCTCTTGCTTTTTACAGACGCTTATACCTATCACACCTGCAAGGGTTAAGGCAGGGCCTCTGGAGGACCACACTGTGGAGCAATAACTTCCTTACTATTTCATGCTGTTCTTTGGGGCCACTCAATGTAGTTCTGTGACCCAAATAAAAGTCTAAATCTGGTAATTTATTATTATTTTCTACTTTAGTGTCTTCTTATAGTAGAAAAAAAATCACATTCTCACAACATGATGAAATTCAACATAAGTAACAAGTACAGTTATACATTGTTTCAACCTCCCTAAGCTAACTACTTCTATTATTCAAATGCCATAATTGGTAGTACAATTTGAGTTTTTAAAACAATTTTGAAATAAATTTTAGCAGGCAGATGAATTTTTGTAGATGACTTCATGAATACATATGTAAGCCATGTTACACTATTACTTTCACACCTGCTAATGGTGGAAATACTATTAATAAATGAAAACAGACATTTCATAATATTCAGTCACCTAATCTCACATGTGAGAATTTAGTTTTCCACCACCTACATTTCAAATACTATTTTTTCTCCCCCAAGAATTAAACTTTGGTGATTTTTCTAAAATCATCCATCTTTGTTAAAAAAGCAAACTTTCCCACTCTTTTTAAAATTATTTTAATTGTTGTTCAAATACAGTTTTCTGTCTTTTACTCCCATCCCAGCACCCCCCAGTGCTCCCCACCTCCCTCCCATTTCCACCACCCCTAGTTTTTGTCCATGTGTCCTTTATACTAGTTCCTGTAAATCTTTCCCCTTTTCCCTTGAAACTCCCTCCCCTCTGGTCCTTGTCAGCCTGTTCTCTATTTCAGCGTCTTTGATTATACTTTGCTTGTTTGTTTTGTTGTTTAGGTTCCTGTTAAAGGTGAGATCATATGGTATTTGTCTTTTAGCACCTGGCTTATTTCACTCAGCATAATGATTTCCAGTTCCATCCATGCTGTTGCAAAGGGCAGGAGCTCCTTCTTTCTTTCTGCTGCAGCACAATTTACAATAGCCAAGTGCTGGAAGCAACCTAGGTGCCCATCAGTAAATGAACAGATCAAAAACTATGGTACATTTACACAATGGAATTCTATGCAGCAGAAAGAAAGAAGGTGCTCCCACTCTTTTTAAAATTACAGTATTCTCAAAAAGAATATGGCAATGGAAATGTCTTCCTGACCTTACCACATTAAATGAGAAAAAGTACAACGTGAAGGAGGATAAAAAAACTAATCATACAGGTGTATTTAAGATCAGCTTGAATTGATCTATACCCTTTGAAATCACTGACTCACTCTGAACTCCATGGGAGCGCACTATTTTCCAGGTTTCTGATGCCACTTCTTTGACATCCACTTGATAGTGATGGATAGGTACACCTCCATGGGAATCCGGCTTATTGAAGGAAATCTTGGCTGTGGTTTGTGACAGCTCTATAGTCTTCACTCCATAGGGGCTGGATGGTACATCTACGAAGCAACAATCACAAGAAAATGTAGCCTTAGTAGTATAGATGGCCACTATACAGATGGTGTGTTGTAGAATTGTGCACCTGAAACCTGTGTAACTTTGTCAACCAGCATTACACCGACAAATTTAATGAAACTGTTAAAGAAAAATGTATATTTGTGAAAAAGTTTAAAGTGAATAAATAAGCAAATAAACAAATAAATAAATATATAAAATGCGATTAAGAGCAATGTGATACAACTTTCTGAAAAAATACTTACGGAATTCTTAGAATTAGAAATATAGGAATGGTATTGCCTATACACTTAATAATTTGAATTACAAAGCTTGCATAAACTGCTGGGTGATCTGTTTAAATTGCAAGAAAGTATAGACTAATAATCAACATTACTACTACACCAAATAAATAGTGAAACATTCAATATCAAATTTCATTTATTGAGAAAATAATTTTACTTCTGCCTTTTCTATACAATATAAGCATTTTATCTGCTTTCAAAGAAAACAAGCTTGTGAGAAAGAGGATGGAGAGGGAATGAATTATAATTAGAACATAATAAGAACTAAAAGAAGACTTAGAATCATTAGTATAAATGATTATCTCTTGTGAAAAATTTATCTTTATTTTTCATTAAAATTACCCTGATAATTTTAGGGTAATTGTTAAGTTTAGAGAAAATGCTGTTATGAACTAAATAAAACTTCAAACTATTTGTTTCAATTTTATGTAGGTTTTCTTGAATGAAAATAAACCTTTTTTTTTTGAGATATCGAAGTTTTAATTCCTGAATTTAAAAAGCCACTATAAAATTGCTCTGGTGTGTGTGTGTGTGTTTGTTATCAATCCACTACTCACATTATTTCAAGCTCAATAGGTTATCCTGAGTGGAACTTTATTTTCGTTTGTAGCATACAAAACTTTTTAAAAATTTTATCAGAAAGGCCAAACAAGCATAAGGAGAAAATCAGAGATAAGAAAGTCTCACCAAGGAAATTAATAAAACCTCTACTCCAGAAGCATGAAGAATTAGAGGCACATTAAACATTCAAAATATCTTTTTATGTCTCTCAATCGTTTGCTGTTTCTTTCCAAAATCACAGACAAACTAATCATAACATTTCCAAATTTACATGTAATTAAGAAATCAAGAGGAGGCTGAGACTTGGAAGGTCAGCAATGGAAGTGTTAGGAAAGATGACCAGAAGAAGGACATAGCATTAGGGACCACGGTTAGGGTGATTGTTCACACTCTCTTATTCCCCATTACTATGTAGAGATTTGAAAAACAGACAGTGAAGAAGACTGGTAGGAAAAATATAATTTACTTGCAATTTGGTGCTGGAGAAAAGCCATAAAGATACCCTGAGTGCAGAAAATAAGCAAGTGGATTCCATAGCAAATTAAGCCTGAGACATTGCTGGAGGCAAAATGACAAAATTGAAGTTGTCCTTCTTGGGAAACATCATAAAAGGGCAGGATTCTTTGGAAAAGACAATAATGTTGGTGGGGGGAAATGCATCAGAAAAAGAGAGACCAAATATGAGATGATTCAATTTAAAAAGCCATAGGCATGAGCTACAGGAGCTGAGCAGGGTTGGTGAGGACAGGACACTGGGCGTCCCTCACTGGTAGAGTCACTGGGAGTTGGAGCCATCTCAATGGAACATAATATACATTACATATCATATAAGTGTATGTAAATGTTATCTCTAGAATTAACCTTACAAGAATAAGAAAAAATCTTTCTGTGTTCTTTTTGTTCTTTTCTTCTAAAATTTTTTTTTTTTAAAAAAATAAAAAATAAAAAAATAATGCAGTGCCCTGGCTGGTGTAGCTCAGTGGATTGAGTGCAGGCCTGCAAACCAAAGGATAGCAGTTCGATTCCCAGTCAGGGCACATGCCTGGGTTGCAGGCCAGTTCCCAGCAGGGGACGCATGAGAGGCAACGGTACATGGATATTTCTCTCCCACTCTCCTTCCCTTCCCCTCTAAAAATAAATAAATGAAATCTTTTAAAAAAATAAAAGAATGCAGTGATTTCCATTCAGATACAATCAAACATTCATATAAAAGTTCATGGTTCTCAAGAGTCAAATGTGCTGTCTTTGTTAGATTTGAAAGAGAATAATAGGTCACATAAAATATGCCTTACAAGTGGTACCAGGTGAGATCCTGGAAGACAGGTTCATGGCATTTTGGGGATGGATGTTGTAAAGAAATGCAATAGTGTATATTTATGCTCTTTTTAGTAACAGTAAATTATTTGAAGATACTGGGAAGTGCATTGTGTTATAACATTGAGGTTTAGAAATAAATGTGTAGAATACCAATGCATCCTAAAGTCATCTTGCTATTAAAATCTTATCTGGAAATTAAAATAAATAAATTATTGAAAATCATCTATTTAAGCTGTAACACTTAATTATTATCATAGTTTTCATGTTTCTTTCATCCCTCACTTGTAACTGTGGGCTATTTTCATCTTCAAGCTTGATCTCAAGTTTGCGGAAGAGGAAAAAATTCAAACACACACAGATTGTTTTTAACAAGACTGCCGATCCTTTACTCCATGCTGAGTGAGTCTGTAATGTCAGCTAGGTCAAAGGAGATACTGCAGCAATGATCATCTTCCATTTGAGTCTACATTTCAATAGAAAAGGTGCCAATGAATGGAGAAGGAGAGGAAGGTGTCATTCCCTTTGGGATCCCACCTTTGACCATAGGCCTTGTACTTGATCCTTGGTTCTTACACCGCCCACGGAGGTAGGCACCATCCGCTAAGCTGTGCACTTCCACGTGGTACACCGCTGCAGAAAGAACAAACTTGTTTCCTTAGCCCTGTGGTGCCAGCACCAGCCTTGGGCCAGTGGGAATCTTTTTCTAGCCAGATAGTCTATATTCAGAACTGCTGACCATTACCCTGGCTTTTCATTTATATTGGTTTTGTGTTGGCCACCTCATTCTGCTACCTGACTAAAAGAAAAGGTATGCTTATGATCTGCAGATCTAGTACTGTTCCTAAACATTCTGATTTCACGACTACTAAATTATTACATATGTACACATGCACACATACATATGTACGTATACCATTGAGAAAAGTGACTAGAAAATACTCAGTCCTCGGGAAATATATGATAAATTAAATATGTGTTTAAGCATTTAAAAATATACAAAGATATAGAACACATGAAAGGGAATAATATCTGATATGCTTGGAACTAACATCTACAACTCTTCTCTTTACTTTCTCAGTTGTTTTATAATCATATTCCTCCTTGGAGAAATGTATTCTCTCATATACATTACTATTAGTCTCAAAGTTATTTTCATCTTTCCTGTATCATGATTCTTGTATCCATTTCTTCCTTCCTGTTTTCACTGTTAATTCACAAGCCCAGGGCCTTTCTGCCTCTGCCTTTAATGCCATTTGTGGCTCTCAGCTTCCTTTTCTATTGGACATCCCACCAAATTTCAATCCATATAGTGTATAAATGCAAAATCAATCTTTCTAAAGCACCACTCTAATCACGTCACTTCCCTGAGTTGGGGTATTCAGGAGCTTCCTCTTCTTTACAACAGCCAACTTAGACTTTTCACTCTGGCTTTCAAGATCTTGAATTATCTAACCTCACTGGGTATCATATTGTAAACAGATCATATTGTAAAAGACTATCAAACATAGCACAATGTTTCAAATGGGGCTTGTCGTTATTAAATTTCATAAACAATACTTCCATCCTTGTTAGCATATTTTTCCAAACTACTTCTTAGCACTTTCCAATTTTAATAATTAATGAATGCCACCTCCCATACTGAATGAAAAAATAAAAAAATTGGGAAAATATGTATTTCTTTATTTACTTTTCAGCTCTACTGGTCCCAGTACAGAGCTGGGTGAAGAGCTTTGGCTTTGTATCATCAGAAGGCAGGGATCCAAAGTCTACCCTGGTTCCTTTAGTCAACTAAACCCCTTGAATGAGTTCCTTAATCTTTCACCATTTTGTCTCTAAAATGGAGATTAAAATAGTGTCCACTGCTAGAGCTGCTCTGAGTACCAAGTATGACAGAGGTCTCAAAACAAAACCTGAAATACGCACACTAAATACTTGGTAAATGTTAGTCATTACAGTGTTTGCTGTCCTCCCTGATAACCTTGCTCCTTCATTTACATAATTTTATATCCATTAAAATGTGTCAACATTTTAATTAAACTATAGACAATGGATAAGAACGCTGAGGTTTAGCTTAGAAATGTATGCTTGTCCTAGGACCGGTCTCTGAAGTTGTTGTATGACCGGGTACAAACGAAACTGTTTGGGTCTCAGTTTCCTCATAAGCCAAATGGTAACAGTAATACCAACATTAAAGTTACTGTAGTGAGGATAAGTTGATGGATAAAACTCAGCGGGCATTCACACATGTCCTCAATTATCCTTTCTTTAAACAGGCCGTCAGTGTATGTTGACAAACACTTTGATATTTACATGCATGTATGAAGTCACCGTTTGATCAAAAGTATAAATGTGAAAACACAGAAAGTCTGTTTTTGTGGTTATTTTATCAGGTAAAGGGTAGAGGAATAATGTTCTGAGTGGCCATCTTATTTCCAGTAATATTTTAGATATATTTTCCTATGCCAATCGTGACCTTAATCTTTTTTTTCCCATGAGTCCTTTTTCCTTTATCATTTTAAAATTGTTGTTCAAGGACAGTATTCTGTCTTTTCCCACCACCTCTCCCCACCACCCCAGCCCTCCCCACCTCTCTCCCCCATTTCCACCCGCCATTGTTGTTCATATGTCCTTTATAATTGCTCCTGTAAATCCTTCACCCTTTTCCCCTCCCCTCTCCCTTCTGACCACTGTCATCCTGTTTTCAATTTCAATGTCTTTGGCTATACTTTACTTGCTTGTTTGTTTTGTTGATCAGGCTTCTGTTAAAGGTGAATTCATATGATATTTTTCTTTCACTGCCTGGTTTATTTCACTTAGCATAATGACCTTAATCTTATAGCCAATTGGCGACACATCTGAAACCCTGTAAATTCATTCTTCTTTTACTACCCCTCTAGGTTTCTCCAATTCCCAACTTTAAATAAATATTCTATTGATCTTCTCTCAACATATGATCAGATATGTTTTAAAAATTCTCCTCATAAGTAGTTATACTAACTTTATGAATAATTGTTTTTAATTTTATTTGTCCATATATTTTTATGTCTGCCAATCAAACTAAAGTACTCTAGAAATATGTCTTGATTACAGCATTTTGCCTCTGATATTGCCCATTAAAGTACTCTTCACTCCTGAGTTATCAAAGGAAATTATTTCCTCATACATACCCAAGTCTTGACCCTTCTCAAAAATCATGTATTTCAGTAAATCATTATTAATGAGTGTCACTTAAACTATGACTCATAAGCAAATCAAACAAAACACACTGATTATACATTCAATAATTCATGTAAATCTCCTATGAGCCAGACAACTTTTTATGTTCTGGACTAAACATAAGACAGTAATCACTCCTCTTATGGAAGATATATTCTAATTACAAAAAAATAATGTAATATATAAATTATTATTAACACTGGTCAGAATTAATCCAGGAAGAGAGATTAATTTAAGTGGAAATGAAAAGAATAGTTGTAGCATTGCAATTTATAATTAGGTGAAAAAGAATATTTTTGCTAAAAAAATAATGTTTAACCAAAAACTTAAAGGAAAAAATTTACTCAAATTAAAAGTTGCTGGAGGGATGGGGCAGAGGTGATTGTGGGACTGGATGAAAAAGTTAAAGGAATCAAGAAGTACAAATTTGTTGCCACAAAACAGTCATTGGGATATAAAGTTTAGCAGAGGGAATACAGTTAATTTTATTGTAATAAATATGTATTGTGCTGGGTAGGTACAGGAAGTACTAGGGGGAACACTTTGTAAAGTATATGATTTTCTAACCACTCTGCTGTGCACCTGAAACTAATACAAAATAATAATGAAAGTAAACTTTAATTAAACAATAAAGTCAAAAACACAGTAAGTTCTATTTTGGGTATACATAAAATATTGAAATTAAAAATATAAATTAGGGGAAGAAAATAGAAAATACAAAGATGAGATATGCTTTGAGTGTTTAAAGAAGAAGGACAATCTGGGGAGAGAGCTCCCGTCTGGAATAATGAAGATTGTTTTAGGATATTTGAGTTCACCTTTATATATTTTGGGTTATGGACAGAAGCATGGAAATTGGCTGTGATGAAATCCATCTCTACCATGCTACCAGGATGGTTGCTCATGATAAATGGATCTGGCTGCTTTATGATGAAAAACTCTAGACTTCCCTTGCTGTACACTTGACATAAAAGAATGTAAACATGATGAATGTTTTTAAGATCTATAATTTGATCTCTCACTACTTCTGTATTCACATCACCACCACCAATCTTTTCATACAACATCACCGCCCAGTTCTCCACCAGATGCCTCCTCTCCTCCCCATCCCACCTCTTCACAGCCTGGCACGTCTGTGCAGTGAAGGGAAGGTCCCGTCTTGCCCTTTTCTACATCACTGAACCTGTTTCTGCTCATTCTTTCAGCCTCAACTCAAGAGCTGATACCTGTCTTGAGGGGAAAACTATGTAAAGCATATAACTGCCTAGCCATTATGCTATACCCCTGAAACCAATATAACATAAAACTGGAAGAAAAAAGCCATTACCTCTTGGAAGCTTTTCCCAAGAAATCCAATCAGAATTGCATTTTATGTCCCCAGCCATATGATTCAAACTTCTGTTGAAACCCTTTTCTATTTTACTCTTATTTGTAAAGATCCAGTGACATAGAGTATTCATTTTCAAATTTCCAAACTCAAGAACAGCTCCTGGCACCTACTTGAAACTTACTGTATAAATGCAGAGTGAATGAATTAACAGATTTTTAGGAATTGATGACATCACAGACTCATTGAAAATAATATTCAGCTAGTCTAATTCCACTTGGAGGGGTATGGGGATTACAAAATTAAGGGGATGCCATAGTTTCTGAAGACACGCAGAATGTGTCTTATGGTTTCCAAAAAGCACAAGACGGATTTTTCAAAACTAAATAATAAAACTGATTATGTAAAAGAAACCTGCTTTTAGGTTCGTTTGAGAAATTGCTCACAAATGAACTAAGTTTAACCTGCTTTCCAATTTTATGGAACAAGTTTTGGATAAAATACTTGTTGTGGTATGGGTATAGGACAAGAAGGTGGACTATTATTCCATATCTACAGAATTTTGTTCAATGGACCCAGCTTAACCTCTAGGCAGGTCATGATTCTAAAAAATGAGTTGTATAGGCTTATCCACGACTTAGGTGAAAATATAGATGACTGCTTCATGATATTTGTGGATTAAATCAATCTTGGAAAGAAAGCTGAAACATTGAATTTGACAGGGTCTTAGTAGGTTAAAAAGATGAGCTCAAACTGACAAGGTGAGATTAAATGGGCTAAGTATAGAGTCCTGAACTGAGGTTTTAAAAAAATCAATTGTCAAGCACAGCAGTTTAATAGCAGTTTTTGTGGAAAAGATGTAGAACAAAACACTGGAAGGAAAATGAAAGTGACAAAATGAAGTGAAATTTTGTATTATTTAACACATACATAGTGTACAGAATAACTGAGGTCACTTTACCATTATCCAGTTTTATTATATGTGGATCCACAATGCCTGAAGGTACCTGTTGTATTTAAAGGGACATCAACAAATTGACTCCTACCCCCAATAAAAGTGGCCATCACAAACTGTAATTTGGCCATAATAGTGGCTAGCTAACATTTGTTAAGCACAACCATGTGCTATTGCTTTAAATGACTTTCCTACCTTAGTCCTCACAAGTCTCACCAGGGAGATCTCAGAATGGCTAGTGGAGCACTGAAAGCCTCGCTAGTAGTGGGGAACTCTCCCCCATGTCAGTGCTGGGTGTGTTCCTGCTGACGGTTCACAGCACAGCCCCTGTCCTAAAACTGCCCAGGGAAAGGTGGCTTTGTCAGAAAAGGGTGTCTGACAAAATTTGTTTAATTTTCTAAGGTTCAGAATTAAAATGAGTAGTAAATTGTTTCTCATCTGTAAAAACAATGCTTCCATTTATTATCAGTGGGTTTTGGTGCAACTCAACACATTTCATTTTCCTAAAATTGAGTTTGCCTATATAATGCTTTTTTTATATGCCTAAATACAGAGTCTTCTGGCCATATTTTTCACTGAGATTGGTTTTCTAATGACTTCATGGTAGACAATAAATATTAGTTTATTTTCTTCCTTCCCTGAATTCTTCCTTTCTTTCTTCCCTCCCTCCCTCCCTTCCTCTTATCTTAACTCGCTCTAATTCTTTGCCTTCTGGCTTTCTTCACTAAAATGCTTTAACACAACCCATTCTCTCCCTTTTTTCCCATTGTAGTAAAGCTTAAATTGGACAATAACAGGTTTTAGAGTCGCATAAAAATTTTCATATTATGAGCTTTAATTTCTTCTGACCTGTACTACTAATGATATTACTTTTGTAAATGTATTTTCATAGTAATAAAATATTTTCAAGTATAATGAAATAAAATTATAGTTATGCATAAGAACTCTACTTAGGCAATGTTTTAAAATATTTCCATGGAAGCTGTTTATAATATTAAAATGTAACATATCATTGGTTTTCTAATATTTATCTACCTAATGTTAGAAGGCAACAAATCAAATTTTTGCATCATTTGAGCTGCACAAAGTATAAAATATGTATTTTTCCAAATTTCTAGTCAGTGTTATATAACATAATGGTGAATTCTATAAATATATATGTATGTTTGTGTATATATATATATATGTGTATATATATGTTATATAGGCAATACAAGTAACTAAATCATAGCTGGGCTTACCATTAAAATAAATTTTACTCTATATGTTATTCCTATATCTTTAAATTTTAGAGGAAGAACAAAATGTTTTTATATATAAAAAATGAGACTTTAAAAAAGTTATATAACCATACATTTTCTATTTGTCTTCAAATTAAGTTTATTATTTATACTTTCTAATTTAAAAATTTAAATGTACTTGTTTTCATTAACTGCCTTCCAAGACGTCTTTTATTTTGAATTTTTGATTGAATTGTTACTGTATTTAAAGTATAATTTGATTTCTTAAGATATGTTTCCTGCTTCTTCCATAAATATTCTACTTATAAAGTTGAAGAAATTAGAATCAGGATTTAAAATCTGTTTTTATTAGTAAATATATTCTCTGTCCTCAATACATGTCAGATAACAACTATTCCAAGTTTTAAGCACTGACTCATTTTTAGAATAACAGCCTGAATCATGTCTTATTAAAGTGCAAAATCTATTTGCTTACATAAATATTCTATGAGGCTTCAGAAATTATTGTGTTGTACTTACCAGCCAAAGCAAGAATGTATTCTTGAAATCTTGTTCCTATACGATTAGTGGCTGTGCAATTATAGCGTCCAAAGTCACTGTCAGATGTAGGTGCAATCTACAATAATTAAAATAATGACATGTTTACAATTTTAAAACAATACCACAGAAGTTTTAAAATAGAATCTAGCATGCCTACCATTTTCATGTATGTTTAACTATTCAAAATTCCTTGACATGGCTTTGTTTTCCTCTATCAAGTGAATATACTGAGTAATATAAACCCTATTAAGATGTAATCCATGGAATTATACTATTCACAGGATCAGGTGAGTACAGTTTATCTATCAATAGATCAAGTAGATTAATGTCATTATTTTGTTTACATCTATTGAATAGAAAATTTGTTAGCTATTCATATGTGTAAAGCTCAAAAAGTAGTAGACAGTTTGAAAAATATATATTCTTCTATCACGACACAGATGAACTTGAAAACAAGAAACTTGTACCATAAGTATGAACTCTTTGTTTACTCTGTTTTAACCTAAGATTAGGCAGAATTAAAGATCAAGGGAGGCTCAAAATATATCGGATATCTTTCACTTATAATATAACTTAACATAAAATATTACTGAAGAGTTAAGATTAATTCTGAGGCCCTGACGTGGTGTGGCTCAGTGGGTTAGGCATCATTCTGCAAATCTAAAGGTCACTGGTTCAAATTCCCATCAGGCCATATGCCTGGGTTGCAGGCCAGGTCCCTGTTTGGGGGATTGATGTTTTGATGTTTCTTTTCCACATTCATGTTTCTCCCTCTTTCTATCCCCCTTCCCACTCTCCAGAAATAAATAAATAAAATCTTCAGAGAAAACTTTCCTGGAAGGTATTCTGCATGAAAACCCTGCTCTTGTGTAGCAATCCCTGCAGACAGGCGTGTTACTTGGTATCTATTAACGGTATGCCTCCATTTCTGTTCAATCCATATCATTCTCTTTCCTTTTAGGGAGATCACAGCTGACCTCGATCCTTACCCATTTGAAATCCATGATTAAGTTAACCTTCTGGGACTCTATTGCTGAACACTGGGACCAACCTTGTAATTTTAATGTACTGAAATTCTGAAGTATCAATTCAGAAAAGAGGTTTGATGAGAGTAATACATAAAATTTTCAACCCAAGTAACTATTATTAAGAGAGAATATGCTTACAACAAGAGATGATGTTAATTTCAACTCTGTCCCAAAAGGGGGAAAATCATTTTGTGGTAATGGGTGGCTATTAACTAAAAGAGCAATTTTGAGGTCCACTGAAGATGGTCTTTGTGAAAGAGCATAAAAAGGCTGTGTCATTCATTTTCCAGTCAGCTGCCCATCTAGGCAAAGAGCATCAGTTTAAGGATTAGAAGTTTTAACAGCTCCTATATAATCACTCTTAAGCTATTAAATATTCATTTTTCTTACATAAAGCTTTTAATAAACCAGGCTAATTTAATTCTAAAATAATTTTACTAGTGAGAAAGGAATTTGACCCCCAAAATGTCTCTATTTTTCAGGCATATGAGAAAGGTATTGTAAATTCTATAAGAAATAATATGTCCTGAATCAGTAGAACAAAGAGTCAGGGCGGCCCTAACAAAAACTGCCACTATTGCACTCCTCATCAAGATTAATAAAGTGACTTAAACATATCAATTTTCATTGGAACAATTTTCAAAGACCTGTTGTTTTTTTTAAATCTGTCTATTCACATATAAAAGATAAAAGGTTTACAGTTAAATCATAAGTAAATAACTCCTTTGCCATGATGTATTACTAACAAGTATAGAAACTAACCCTAGTAGAACATATTAAACACACACACACACACACACACACAGATCTAGACATAACTGGGCCAAATCATGTGCCTCGCAGCACATTTAGTGTATATTAGGAATTCAACATGAAAGTAAAGTCTAACAGTGGGTTTACACCTAATCTCAGAACAATAAATCAATAGAAAATGTTACCAAAGTATCAAATAATGTATTAGGCTAAGTGAAATAAGCCAGGCAGTGAAAGGCAAATGCCATATGATCTCACCTATAAGTGGAACCTAATCAGCAAAACAAAGAAGTGAGCAAAACAGAACCAGAAACACAGAAATAAAAATCTGACAGTGACCACAAGGGAGGGTGGAGGGGGATGATGGGGGAAAGAAAAGAAAAGGTTGTCAAACAACTCATGTCTTTGTCCATATACAAGGACTTGTATAAAGGACTCATGGACAAAGACAATGGGGGGAGGGTTGAATGTGGAAGGTGGGGGTAGGCAGGGCAGGGGTGAGTAATGGGAGAAAATTGGAACAACTTTAATTGAACAACGATAAAATATCAAATAATAAAAAAGGTATAAAATAAAGCATCAATTTAAAACTATTTAAATGTTTTAAATATGCAAATGAGTGCTGACATTTATCCAGGGAATGCTAGGAACATCCACTTAAGACACACTTCTATGTATTTTAATATGCAATTAAAATAATTCAAGTTTACTTGGGCAAAATAGAATACATCAACAAATCTAGTTTTAAATATCAAAGTCTAAGCAGAGAGTATAATGTTAGTAAAAAAACTTGCTAGTCTTTTTCCTACACCTCAAAAGTAGATTTTCTCTATGTATTCCATGGTGGGAAAAACATTTATGTAATAGCATCTTTACTTAAGACAAGAAACAACAACATAGATTATTCAATGAAGAATATTATTCTAAGCATCCTACTAGAAACTTACTGTAACAGTTTTTGTACTGAAAATTTGTCTTATTAGCTCATGGGAATATTTTTTTAAAATAGTTTAAATGACATTTAGAGATGTATTTATCAACTGCAATCCAAAGGAGTTCTAGATTTTTTATATACTTTAAAATTCATACAGTTAAAGTTAAAATGTATATTGAATTAAAGAAAAAGAAACATATTTAAAAATCAGTTTAAGAAATTTATTATTGGCCATTTTATTATTAACCGTAAACTTGATTTTTTTCACATTTTTAATATATTTTCTTAAGCATTAACAATTAGGTTACTATTTAATAATTACTAAACAAAAAGTAATAATAATGTAATAATAAAGTAATACTAACCAATTATGTATGCTAGTAATGCAAATTTAGTACTTATTATCTTTCTTATTGTATTCTATTTTTATCTAGTTTTTAAGTTGTTTTAGTTATTCATTTTTATGATTTATTTAGGATTTAAATCCAATGATTAAAAATAGTGAACACAAAAATATATATGCTCAAGATTAATACTTCAACCAAAAGATCACCTGGCTATATACAAATTAAACAAAAATTGCTTAGTTTTCACTTTGGGATGGGGAACAATGTGATTTAGGGAGAAGATTAAGTAATGTGGAAGCCTTAAATGAATGAACTATTTGAAGGCCAGATTTATAAATTGTTGCTTGACCTTGATAACGGAGCTTTCCCAGAAACTGAAAAACAGCAAGATAAAATAAAGCAGAAATTAGAGATTTGAAACATGAACTTAAATCTACCTGTTATGGACTGAGTTCCCCTCAACCCCCATAAAATGTGTATGTGGAACTATAATATGACTATGTTTAGAGGTAAGTTCTTTAAGGAGAATCAGAGGAAAGGTCAGGTGGGTGTAGGGCCAGAGGGAACAATAGGAAAACCAAGGTGAGAGGTTCCATTATAATCCATTGACTCTGTCACTTTGATTTCGGACTTCCATTCTCCAGAAATGTGTCAGGGGGTAAAATGTTTCTGTTGTTTAAGCCACCTAGTCTTACTGTGTTTTGGGTGCCAGAGCTCACCAGTACATTGCCCCGCAGCAGTTAAATGCAATGTTGGTTTTTAACTATGGTTAAATTCCTAAAATTTAGTCTAAATCTGACCAAATGTCTTTGTGAAATTGACCTCTGTGTCAATCTGCCAATAGCTAGTTCTAAGGAAGTTACAAAGAAACCAATTTAAATTGATTTAGATGAAGTGTCCTTATCCAAATGTTTGAGAAAATGATGGCTAAACTCTTATCAGCCAAATGTTTCACTAAGTCTAACTGCCAGGTAGAAAAGTTAATACAGCGCCAATGAGGATATCTTTAAATCAACGCAGTGCACATTATCAGATGGTACTTTAAATCATACATTAAAAAAAATAATTAGTGCTCTCTGCTGACCTAGTGTCTGCACTAGGTTGGGCATCAACATGGGGACTTGCAAGGACTCTAGGACCACGGGGTGGCTGAAGGAACAGTGCTAAAGCCCAGGTTGGGAAGGAAAGGGGAATGGAACAATGCACAATGATTTCCTGGGAGGAGATAGCATCTGTTCAGCGATACAAGACTGTTGTAATGAAGATCATTCCCAATTGTTCTGAAAGGATCATAACTTGGAAGGGCTAATGATCATGGTCATAGACAAAAAAAATCTTGGAAAATTGACACAGAGACACAATCTGCAATGAATAAATAAAAAGTACTGTATTCAAACAGAATTTAAAGGCCAGCTACTTGGCAGTACAAAACAACGATCTACCATTGTAACTGTAAAAATAAAATGAAATGAGGCATTGAATGAGTAAATATGTTTCTTTAGAAACTTGTAAAAATATAGCCAGCATATGACATTTTAATGCACCAATCTAAGGAGAAGAAAGTGTCACCATAGAAGCAACACTGAAACTGAAAATTTGCCTCAAGAGCTGCCAAATTATACCCCTACTCTCCCCCCTCATATAATTGTTTTTATTTTCCAAAAATAAACTCATGAAAAATAATGGCTTTTTCCATGCACTCATATTTTCTTGTAAATAGGAAGATATTAATCATTAATGAGCCATAATTCAAATGCATAAAACTTCCTTTTAAGCAAATAAATGTAAAATATATACAATAGGTTTACATATATTTCACAGTATAACCATACTATTATATGTATACATTAAGATCTTTAAACATATTCTAAAATAGTAGATAATGGCTAAAATAGCACAATTTATTGATATATATGCATGAAGACTTACCTCCAATATCATCTTTTTCCCAGCACTATATGTCTTTAAATTAGTAGTGTTTTTAGCTGGCAAGACTAATTTCTCTCTTCTCCAATGGACTGATGCTGGTGGATTAGATTTCACATCACAGCTTATATTTATAGGATTTCCTTCCCAAGAGTAATAAATTGTTTGGTTTGATATGAACTTGGGAGCATCTGTAAAGCAATATAATATAATATTTATATACCTTTCCTTTGACATGATCATTTAATTAATATAAACAATAGTTACTTGACTACAAAAAGAAGCCACAAAAGTGCTAACTTCATTTTTGTGTGTGTGTGTTGGCTGTTGTCCTTTTTTTACTTAATAATCTAAAGGAAAAGAGGTCAGTGACTCTGACTAAATAGTCAGGAATTGCATGTTTCATTTTTTAATTTTTCTTGTCGTTCAAGTACAGTCCATTTTCCCTCAACCACTCTCACCTACCCCCACCTTCCACCCTAAATTCTACCCCTCTTTGGCTTTGTCCATGGGTCCCTTATACACATCCTTGATACCCTTCCCATTCTTTCCCCCAGTATCACCCTCCCTTCTTGACTATGGTTACTGTTAGTTTGTTCTTTATTTCAGTGTCTCTGGTTATATTTTCCTTCCTTGTTTATTTTGTTGATTAGGTTCCACTTATAGGTGAGATCATATGTATTTGTCTTTTACGGCCTGGCTTATTTCACTTAGCATAATGCTCTCCAGTTCCATCCATGCTGTCACAAAGGGTAGGAGCTCCCTCCTTCTTTCTGCTGTGTAGCACTCCATTATGTAAATGGACCACTGGTTTTCAATCCACTCATTTACTGATGGGCACTTAGGTTCCTTTCAGCACTTGGCTATTATAAATTGTGCTGCTATGAACATTGGGGTGCACAGGTTCTTTTGAATTGGTGTTTCAGGATTCTTAAGGTATAATCCCAGCAGTGGAAATCGTCAAAAGGCAGTTTCACTAATAGTTTTCTGAGGAAATTCTATACTGGTTTCCACAGTGGGTGCACCAGTCTGCATTCCCACCAACAGTGTAGTAGCGTTCCCTTTTCTCCCCAACCTTACCAGCACTGTTGTTTCTTGATTTGGTTATGATGGCCCCTCTGACCACTATGAAGTGGTATCTCATTGTGGTTTTAATTTGCATCTCTTTGATGGCTAGTGATGCTGCGCATCCTTTCATATGTTTCTGGGCCTTCTGTACATCCTCCTTAAAGAATTGTATGCTCAGGTACTTTGCCCATTTATCAACTGGATTGTTTGTCTTCCTGGAGTGAGTATTTTATATATTTTGGACATCAAACCTTTGTCTGAGATATCATTGGCACATACATTTTCTTATACAGTTGGTTCCTTTTTTATTTTGCTGATGTTTTCTTTAGCTGTGCTGATGCTTTTTATTTTGATGAAGTCCAATTTCTTTCTTCTCGCCTTTATTTGTGAAAATATTGCTGCATGGAATATCTGAGATTTTCCTGCCTATGTCCTCCTAATTTCAAATATTTAACATATGACATGAGAACTCATGAAAATATGCCAATTATTTCATCAAATAATTTTAATATTGATATAAAAACTTTCCAAATTTGCAATTATTAAAATATAAACCAATGCTCAGAGTTAAGTTTACTTTTAATATTATGACAAAAATACCCATCCAGTAAATTAATGGCTAGTTATATACTAAAATATGTTTCTGAAACAACCCACATAATAAAAGGAGAGTTTATTATAAAACTTAACAAAATCAGTGTCATATATCATTTTTAAGTCGTGCCTTAGTCATATAAATTCCTTGACAAATATTTTGAAGCAGATTCCTGAAGTATCATTTTCAATTTTTATTAAACCCGAGAAGATTTAATTTAGTCAACAACAGTTAACTGGGAAATTTAGCAGTTTCTATGATAATCTATCCATTTTCAGGCCCCTACACCAGACCTCTATAATAAAAGTCATGAGAAAATAGATACCATACTTCATCATTTCATTAAAATAACTTAATTATGCAGACTCACAAATATGGGCCTTCATGTTATTCCACTCTAGAAAGCTGACAGAGTACAAATGTCAATCCATTGCAACTTCTTTGAATATCAATCTCTTGACTGTATAATATTTGAGAAAATTCATTATTGTATTTTTTCACTATTTTGTTTCTACATAAACACAATTCTGAATTAAGTGGTAGCTAAACTGATATATAAAGTGGTGTAAAAACTGATTATTGTTGTTACTAATATTAACTATTCAGAACTTAATACCACTTCATAAATGATCAGTTTGAGTTGTCTAACCTTCATGTTTTATTTTATTACCTCCAATTACTTAGAAATAACCTGTATCCAATTTTATTATATCAACCTATTATATATCAGATAAAAACATATGAATTATAATCTATACAACTAATAATCAAGTAATCATCAAACATTTCTTGTTCTATTTAGGATTTATTGTATATTTTTAATGCCAATCTCCCATAGAAGTATGAAGTGCTGGTTAAACGCTTTCCAAAACAGCAAGTTTTTACATTGTATTCTCTTTAATCTTTTCAATAACCTTATAAGGAAAGTGCTATCCTGTTTTAAGAGGGACCTGGATTAAGAGCTATCAAGCTTATTCTAGTAATAAATTACAGGTCTAGGATGGAATCCAGGGTGATTTTAACCAGGCTCCATTATATTTCCATTTAATCCAGAATAAAAATTTTAATTTTCAGTGCTAGCAACATTTTGGTGATTTGGACCCTATCATATATTATTGAGGAAAATACAATGAACACAATGTCTCATGGGAATACAGAGCCTTAAGATCTTTATAATCTCAATTTTGTGATTGAAGCCTAGGTACCTTTCAAAAGAGAATAACTTAAGACATCATCAAAGGTTTATACAGAGGATTCTTAATGAATTATTGTTTTAATAAAAAACTCAAAATAATGAATATTGACTCAAAAGAATACCGACTAACTAAATAGTGATGCCATCTTGGCACCTAAGTGCACTAAATATTTCATAGATGTATTTGCCTATGGTTTTCCCTCAGCTTGCAATGTGCCTGTCCTTCTTGCACCTGCTTGCCTTCAAAACTCAGGTCCACACTCTCTAAACACTGCCTTTCCATAGCCATCAATGGTGGGTCAGATTGCCTGCTTTGTGCGCCCACAGGATCTACGTGCTTCCTCAGAACATGCACAGCCATCAGAAGGATCTGTTTGATGGTCTCTCCACCAAACTATCCGAGTCTCGTGGATTAGGCCATGTCTTACTCACAGTTATATTCTGGATGACTTACACAGTATCAGATGCTGACTTTGTTCTCAAACACTGTGCATCAAATTTGTGGAAAATTAAACAGTTATTTAATTTCCAATGCAACAGATTAACCTGTTTACTTAATCTGACCAAATGTTTTCAAGGCACATGTAAATAAAATGTTCAAGGCCCTAAAAGATTCATTGGAAAATCTAAGAATGTGTAAAAACTTAGGGAAGTAATTTTAAGAAAGACTAACTCTCTGATATTGAAAGCATATAGCTAAGCTTCTATCTATATCTATGTGTACCTATATGTTGTGGACCGCTCTGCCTGGTTTCAGGAATTGTAGCTCTCTGCCCCTTGTGGCTTGAGAATGAGTGAGCCAACTACCTCTGGAATGTGAGTCACAGGAGACAAAGCTTGTCTCTGGTAGCAAACGCTGCCTCAGTTTCCTCCCTGCCCCTAGAGGTTGGTCGGAAGTCAATGACGGGTAAGACCCCTCACAGCAAGGGGCAACCTAAGCCAGACTCGATCACCTGGGAGGCCTTCATGGAAGGACTCAGGGGGCTGCAACAGACAGCAATGGACTTTCGCCCCCCAGTTTTGTCAAAGCCTGAGTCCCCATGTCCTCTGGGAGAAGCGCTTCCTGGCTCTAATCCCCTTAAGCCTGAATACCTGATGGGGAGAGGTGCAGCTCCTTGCCTGGCCAGAGCATGCCCTGGGGAAAAATCTGGCATCACAAAGACTTCCTGATAAACCTGTGAAATCTGCTCTGCTAAGAGTGCTTTCATTCATATGATAAGGGTCCGAGAGGAAATGAGTATATCTCCCAAAGTTTCTGCAGCTCTCTTCCTGACAGACACTGACTCTGAAGCCCTCAGATCTCTTTGTAATGCTATCTACTGTTTGATCCTTGCCTCCCTGTATTCCTGTATATTACAACCCAATAAAAGGCTATGGAAGAGGGTGCTTGGGGCCTTTTCTCCTCAGACAAACTGACCGCTGCGGGCCTTTGTCTCCCCAGAGAAATGGGCCATCCCTCCTCTCCAAGCAGATCACATCATATCTCTGTCTCATTCATTCTCATCCGTGGCACCGAGGGGACCTCTCGAAAGCAGTCGCCCCCACACCTATAAAAGATGTTATTACTGCTTAATATGTACAAATATAATATATTTAACATTACAATATCTTAGGGAGAAGTTTATGAATAATTTATTTGCATAAAATATAGCCCAGTATGAAAATCATACATGTTAATAGAACTCTATTAGCTGACTTTCAGTCTAGTCTGTCCGCAATAAGGCATCTGTGTGCATAAGTATTTATTATAATGTAACCATAAGTTTAAGGCTGCATTTTTTTAATAAAAGAAGCAATTGCCACTAATTGCTGCCTAGGATCTCAGTGGGAATTTAATTCAGAATTACTGATGCTGAATGCAAATGTGCCACAGGCTATACATGCTACAATGAAAGCCACATTAAAAAATGTATTTGTGGGGTGAGGCAACAAAATATTGATATCTCACATCTGCAATAAAGCAAAAACTAGATTCCTGTACATGCTATGTTTTGTAAATATCAAAAGAGTAGTAACACAGTAATACTCCCTGGTGCAAGATGGGCAGACACTGCCACTGAACGACAGGGGTTGGACCACTGTTTGAAGAGGATGTGGCTCTGGGAAAGGCAACACGTGAGGACTTCAGAGTAAGAAACATGTAGCCCTATATTTCTTTGATAAATCAAAATTTGTAACTTTCACAAAACTAGGCTTTTCCAGAAACCTAGTATTTTTTGCACTAGAAAAGCTTTCAAATGTTGCAGAGAGGAAATAAACTTAAAAATAAGGAAAGTCATAGGAGGGAGAAATATAGCATAGACAGAACTGAAGAAAGACCAGAATTTATATAG